CTTGATTCTTCTCCTTTCTTGCTGTCCTGGCATGCACTGCGCCTCCCCCCAAGTTCCTCTTATTTTTGCCAGTTGTGACTTTGAGAGTAGAATGTGACAGAAATGACCCTGGACCAATTCTAGACCTAATTGTCAAGAGCACAAGAAACTCTAAGATCCTTAGAACTCTAACCCTGCTGTGAGGAAGCCCAAGCCGGTCCCTTTGAGAGGGACATCAGAGTAGAAGCAGGGCACTCTGAGCAAAAGTTCCAGCCCAGCCATGTTACAATGAGCCACGTGAATGAGCCCAGAAGGGCCCAGTTAATGGTCAGGATTTTTTTTTTGTAGTACTGGGGTTTGAACTCAGGGCCTCATGCTTGCTAGGTAGGTGATTTACCACTTGAGCCCCTTCTCCAGCCCTGTTTTGCTTCTTTGTTTTGTTTTTTTGAAACAGAGTCTGGCTATGAGTCCTGGACTCAAATTCATACTCCTCCTGCCTCAGCCTCCTGAGTGCTGGGATTATAGGCATGATCCACCACATCTGGCACAACTGTGAGAATCTTGAGAAACTGTCTGTCTGTCTGTTCATCCATCCACCCGTCCATCCACCCACCCACTTTCTCTTTATATTTTCGGGTACCACATTTTGGGCTAGTTTTTACATAATAAAAACAAATAGATATCATATTCTACTGCCTACTTCTGTATGCTTGAAGTTTTCCACAATCAAAAGCATTCATCTATAACAATTGATAGTGGAAATTGTCTCTATTTGCCTCTGAGTCTTTCTCAGTTAATCTCTGCTTATATTTTCTCTTTCCTTCCTCCCTCCCTCCCTCCCTCTTTCTTTCTTTCTTTCTTTTTCTCCTCCTCCCCCTCCTTCTCCCCCTTCTCCTCCCCTTCTCCCTCCCCCTCCTCCTCCTCCTCCTTCTCTTTTTGGCAGCACTGAGGGTTGAACTCAGGGCCTTGCTCTTGCTAAGCGTGTGGTCTACCACTTGAACCACGCCTCCATTTCTTCTGCTTGTAATTTTTTTTCAGATAGGTTCTCTCACTTCCTTGAACCGGGATCCTGCTACCTTTGTCTCCCAACTAGAAGGGATTACAGGTATGCATCCCTGCACCCTCTGCCTTGCAGTTTCACACTTTCTTGTCTCTCTCCATCTCTTTCTCTCTGTGAGTTGACTCCTTTGGCTGATTCTCAGACATGTCAGCCTCTTTTGTGCCTCAGATGTCATTTTGTGTTCCCTGGGCCTGATGCTTTTTGCTCCCGGGTTCTTATGCATCATTCCTTCACTCCATCCAGACAGATCTGTCTTCTGCTTAAATACAATCTCTTCCTTTTTGGGGCAGTGCTGGGGATGTAACCCAGGGTCTCACACATGCTAGGCAAGCGCTGTATCGCTGAGCTCCACCCCCAGCTCAAACATAATCTTTTCCACATCACCTGTTCAAGAATGGCCTCTCGTCCCCTCAATCGTCCTGTATCCCATCTCACGGCCCTGTCTTTACATATCACTCAGGATTCTATGAAATGACCCTGTGTTCTCATTTGTCTGCGTGCTACCCTAAGTGTGCAGTGGTGCCCAGCCCATGGAGATGCTCAGTGGACAAGAGTTCCACGACGCTGACGGGCTGTTCATTGACTTTCCACTCTCCTGTTCTGCACTGTGCTGGAGGTGGGAAGGACGGCATTTCTCCAGATTCTCCTGACTTTTGCACCCACCGTGAGTTGAGTCTCTGTCCGTGGTTCTGAAACCACCGCTCTGGATCTGTCCTTGGTGCTGACCACGCGGGGCTTTCACCTCCTATAAACCAAGGAGTGTGGGAATCTTGGGCAGGGGCCATGTCACGTGTTGGATCCAGTCATTGGGTCACCTGTATCACTGAGGAAAAGTGGACATCTGCGTGCTCAAGAGAGCGATGCATGGGCCACTGTTAGCTCCGTGGGTATTTGATCTGTCTGTCTGTCATCTATCTATCCACACACAGGTATATACTCGTATGTATGTGTGCATTTGTATAGTTTTTCTTCAGTATTCACAAGGGACTGGTTCCAAATCTTCCCACCCCAAGGATCTCAAACCCCATGGATTCTCAAGTCCTTTCTGTCAAATGGAGTACGATTTCTGTAGAACCCAGATGCATCCTCCTGTGTTTCTTATTTTATTTGTTTTGGCTATTCTGGGGTTGAATCCAGAGATTTGTGCTTGCTAGGCAGGCACTCTACCATTTGGGTTACAGCCTTCCTGCATACTTTAAAACATCTCTAGATGACTTGTAATACCTATTTAGTCTCATGCAAATGCTTTGTAAATAGCTGTCATAATGTATTTTTAGGGAATAATGACAAGGAAAAAATCTGCATGTGTTAAGTTCTGATTATTATGTTCTTTTTCTCCCTCCCTCCCTCTCTCTCTCTCTTCCCTCCTTCCATCCCTCCCCCATCTCTTCCCTCCCTCCCTTCTTCCTTCTTATTTCTTTCCTCTGTTCCTCCCTCCCTCCCTCCCTCATTCCCTTCCTTCCTTCTTTCTCCCTCTCCCTGTCTCTTTTTTTCTTTTAGATAGGGTCTCACTATGTAGTCCAGGCTGGCCTTGAACTCATAATCTTCCTGCCTCAGCCTCCCAAGTGTTGGGATTACAGCTTGTGCTACCACACCTGGCTTTCAGTAGAGAATATTTTTGATCTGAGGTTAATTGAATCCACAAATGTGGAACCTGGAGATAGAAGAGTTTCACTATACACACACACATGAATCCAAACATAGAGAAGTGATCAGAAAAGTATCAGAAACCACACATAGCCACTTTTCCTTCATATGTTATTTATTTATTTGTTTATTTATTGCAGTACCTAGGCTTGAACTCAGGGCCTTCACCTTGAACCACTCCACCAGCCATTTTTTTGTGATGGATTTTTTTTTTTGAGATAGGGACTATTTCCCCAGGCTGGCTTCAAACCTTGATCTCCTGATCTCTGCCTCCTGAGTAGCTAGGATTACAGGCGTGAGCCAGGAGCACTCCACCTTCATATGATATCATTGAATCGTAGACTGTACTGGAAATCATTTGCTTTCTGTTGAGATGTGACTTATAAATAGTAAAATTCACATACCCTAACTGTGTGGATCTGCGCAGTTCTTTCTGTGCCTGGACACGTGTGACCTCCCCCAGAGTCAAGCCATCTTCACCAACACCAATGTATTCTCCTGAACCTTTCCCAAGTGATATGCCAGAGACAACCAATATTCTGACCTCCATCACACAAGATTTAAAGGCCACAGTGTGGAAATCCAACACCTGGCCTTGACTTTGGTGTTGATGCTAGCATGATCTGACTTTCATTCTTGTCCTTAATGGTCTAGGTGTCTGCTTGCTGTTCAGTGGGATTTTTTTTTGCCTTGGTATTACACCTGTACATGCTTTGTGCTTAAGTCAGTGCAACCCCTCCACTGCACTTCCTCACCCTTCCCCTATCCTGTGTTGCTTAATAGTTTTCAATGTTTCCTTGGGTCTTGTTCCTGCATAGGTGTGACACATTTCATTATTAGTCATTATCTTTTTCTCCTTCTTTCCCTCCTCCCTTGGTCTCCTCTACTGGTCTCACTTTTGAATGTATGTACTCTACATATTTGTGTGTATATATAATATTGCTTGTATTTGTATTGGGCCTATATTTCACATATGAGAGAAAACATGTGACCTTTGGCCTTCTGAGCCTGGCTAACCTCACTTAAGATGATGTTCTCCAGTTCCACCCATTTACCTGCAAATGACAAAATTTCATTTCTTTATGCTGAATAAAATTCCATTGTATATAATAGTACACTTAAAAAAATCTATTCATCAGTTGTTTCCAGAGCTTGGCTATTGTGAATAATGGTGCAATAAACACGGGTGTGCAGGTAGGACCTTTACTGAAAAAAAAACAAAACAGGGAAAGAGCTCAGTGTATTCTCAGGCCAAGTGATACAATGTCTGGGCCCCCAGGAACCCCATTCCTTCTTCTAGTCATTGACCCCCAAGGGTGACGTCTGTCCTGATTATCCATGCCTTCTCAGTCAGTCTGGGGCCAAGCCTCTTCTCTCAGACTGGAATCTTGTTATGTAAGTGTTTTGAGCTCAGCCTCTCCCTTGCTAGGCAGAAGATCTACAGCTTGAGCCACACCCGGTCCTTTTTTGCTTTAGATTAATTTTCAGATAAAGCCTCATACTTTTTGACTAGAGCTGGCCTTGAGCTGTGATCCTATCTCTGCCTCTCTAGTAGCTGAGATTACAGGTATGAGCCACCATGCCTGGCCCTACATCAGTTTTATCGTGTACAAAGACTTTTGTACCAGGTTTAAGTGGATTTGCGTAGCATGTTCTCTTGCTGAACATTATGTAGGTGAGATGCATCCATCTCTATAGCACGTAGCTATAGTAAGTATAGTACTTCATTATGTGAGCAGGTCGCAGTTTCTTTATCCATTTGACTGTTGAGAGTTTGTGGTTGTTATGGGTTGTTCTGCTAGGAACATTCCAGTCCATGTCTTTTGGGGGAGCCTAGGAGCTAGTATCTCTTGGGGAGAGATACACTCAGAGTGGAACTGCTGGATCTCAGAGTGGGTGCAGAGTCTGCTCTAGGGAGATACTGAAAAGTAGGTTTTCACAGTGGTTGTTATGGTTTGGATAGACAAAAGGCTTACGTATGGAAGGCTTGGTTCCCAGATGGTGTTATGGAGGGGTGATTGGATCCTGAGGTGCTAAGTCCTCAGTGAGTGAATCCATTGATAAGTTCATAGCTGAGTGGGCACAGTGGAGCTGTTCTCCCTCCCCTGGGGTGCTGGTGACTGTGCTGTTTCTTCCAGGCCTGCTGGTCAGCTATAGGCAGGGAGGCAGTAGGGAAGGAGGGTGAGGTGGAGGGTCAGGGACCAGAGGGACAGGAGGGCTGGTCTTGTTTTCACATCATTTTAAGCCTGTGATGGGGGCTGAAGCAGTGAGAAGGGGTGCCTGTGCCCTGCCCCCAGCATCCTGGAGGGGCTGTCTATGGAGAGAGCCTGAGGGGTCCTCCCATGACCAGGGCCAGCAGAGGAGCCACCAGGAATAGGGCCAGGGTGTGGGGCACCCGGAGAGAGGCCGGGGCTGCGCTGGTGATGAAGGACTGGGTCATGGGGTTCCTGTTGCAGAGATGACCCTGACAGCAGGAGCCCTGGAGGTTGACGGCTGTCCAGGGGCTGGTGGTGCCCATGGTGGTGCAAGAGGGCCGGTGGCAGGTCCTGATGTACACGGGGACTGAGAAATTGCCTGGGATGGACAGTGGGGAGAGGTCAGACCAAGGGAGGCAGCTGCACCTGAACCATCACCTTAGGAGCCAGAGCCAGGCCTCAGACGAACTTCAGGTCTCTCTCCTGAGGCCAGGGCCATGCCTCCACCTTTGGACTAAAATCGTGCCCTCCCTCAGACCAGGGCCAGGCCTCCCAGCTAGGCTGCCTGGTGCCTCTGCGCTCAGACCCGCTGTGCTTCTGCATCCCTTACCCAGGTCCTTCCACCAATCCAGCCCCTTACCAATGTTCATCCGGCCGTTGCCCTGGAAACAGGCACTCTGATCCTGGTGACACTGGACCCGTCGGGCCTTTTCGGGGGTGCAGTCCTCCGGGTGGACCCCCAGGCAGGCGTAGCACTCTGTGCCGCTGAGCGTGGGTGGGTCAGGCGCTGAGGGAGAGCGGGCCACACTCAGGGAACTGCCCCGGGACGGGAGTGCCCACCTCGCCCGCGGAGGACGCTGGCCCCGGAGCGCCGGGGCACAAGGCGCCCAGCAGAGGCGGCGCCCACCCAGCCTCTGTGGGTTCCGCCTTCGGGCACACCTTGACTTAGGTTGGGGAGGGCGTCGTGCGTCCTGAGGTCCGAGTTGCAAAAGTCGGTCGCGCAACCCCGCACCACCGCGTAGTCGGGTGGCAGCGCGTCCTGCTTGGATTGCATGGGCCCTGTGGTCGGGCCTGTCCAGCAGCCCTTCTGCACCAAGGTCACCGGCGCGCGATACCCTGCGGGGAGGAGAGGAGGGGACCTTGAAATGCATCGGCTTCTTTCTCACCCAGCCTCTTTTCCCTCCTCACTTTCTCTCCTGCCAGCCCTCTCTCCCCAGGCTTCTTTCTCTCCCCTCTTCCTCTCACCAGTGTCCAGCGACAGGACGATCTCAGAGCATCCCTGGGGACAGGAGACGCTGGAGAACTTCATGGCACTGAGGTCGAAAGGCCCAAAGTAGATGTGCTCAAAGCTGTGGCACTGCAGGGCCTGGGACCCTAGCAGGGAACAGGGATGGGTCAGCGAGGCACTCTTGGGTGCCACCCTACCTGTGACAGTCACATGACCAGGTCCTCTGCTCAGGAAAGGTGGGACTTGTTGCCCCAAGAGAACAGGGTCTGCGATTACAACCAGTCATGATGGAGTCTATGTCACCACAAAGCCATCAGCTGCCAATCCAGTTTTTCCCTCCAGGTGGTTCCAGTAGCTCCACCCTCATCCAGGAAGCCTTCTGAGATTTAGATAAGGCAGGAGGAAGTGATTCATCGCTGCTCTGCCCATCCCTCCCCATGCTAAACTCAGGAGGGACAGTAGCACTGAACGGCCACCCATAGGAAACAGGGGTTTCAGTGCAGGTGGAGCCAGGTACAACCCGGTTGACAAGCACACAGCCAGCCCAGCAACGCACGCTGAACACTTCAACGCCAACATAGAGCAAAATAACAAAACTGACACAAGTTCATACAAATACAGAGAAGTTGAAAGTATCCATCAGCACTTTCCACTCTCACACAAAACAACAACTCACCGCACCCTCCAGACCAAGGTCAGCACATCATACATGCAAGCTCTATCAACACAAAAGTGTGTGTCTGGGAGTGACAACACGAAGAAGGACCCAGAAGCACAGGAAATCTCATACACACACACAAACACCCCCCTCCCCACCGCAAGAATCACATAAACAAATAAAGCAAGATACTGTAGTTATGCAAAGAGAGCTAGAGATGTATTTTAGAGAGTTATGAAAATGAGACCATAAAAATGCACTTTAAAGTCATATATGTGTACAAACTATGTAGAGATAAGAGACAGAAAGACAGTGAGAAAAACATTAAAATACCCAAACATTTGTAAATGTCATATTGTACCCCCACAATAATAAAATGAAAAAATACCCAAATGCATCTATGCAGAAATAAACGCACACTTACAGATCACAGAAAAGTATGACCATGAAGAAGGACACCTACACAGAATGATGCACTTCTCTCTTTCTCAAAGAAAGTGAAGGTCAGAGATAAGCTGACCCACACGAGCACTTCTGAAAGCACCCACACATGGAGACCCGGCACAGAGACCCACAGGGACGTGTTGGAAATCCAGATGGGTCCCGCACTGGGCAGCTACATCGCCTACGCTCAGTGGTGGCCTCACTTGGACCTCTCCAGTTCTCTCTGTGGCCACTTCCACTTTGAAATGAGCAGGTCCTTGTCCAGGACCATTGAGGGGAAAAGGTAAACTGAAGATGAATTCAAGGTTCCTGCCAGCCGGAAAAAGGACTGATAGGCCCAGAAATACCCTTGCACAGAGGGGAAGGAAGATACATGCTGGAGAAAATGACAGAGGAAAGGAAGAAAAAGGAAATGGACATAGAGTCCACAGCCCAGCCTCCTCCCTCAGACCCAGGGGTCCAGAGCCCAGCCTCCTCCCTCAGACCCAGGGGTCCAGGCCCCAGCCTCCTCCCTCAGACCCAGGGGTCCAGGCCCCAGCCTCCTCCCTCAGACCCAGGGGTCCAGGCCCCAGCCTCCTTCCTCAGACCCATGGGTCCAGGACTCAGCCTCCTCCCCAGGCCCAGAGGTCCAGACCCCAGCCTCCTCCCACAGACCCAGAAGTCCAGGCCTCAGCCTCCTTCCTCAGACCCTTCTCTAGGGTCCAGGCCCAAGACTTCTGTCTCCTCTGGACTCAGAAGGTTAGGTACCTGTCAGGCACAGCACAGCCCCAAAAAGACAGAACAGGGCGTCCCTGTGGCCCCCCATCACTAGCGTGCAGAGCTGTGCTGTGACACCTCAGCCAGTTCCCTGGGCTTTGACTTGCTGTCTGGCTGGTTCTCCCTGCTGATCCTCAGGCATACCAGCTCCCAGTCTGCCCAGGATTCCTGCACCCCGCCCTGGCTCACGTGGGCTGGTCTCCTCCTAGGTGATTGCCATGGGGCCAGGATGAGTCTTGGAGGGCGTGGGGCCTGGGCTCCTGGGTCCCAAGGAAGGGGTTAGGGACCTGTAACCCTTAATTTGGGTGGGATTGTGTTTTGCGGGTCACTTCCTCCTCCCCACACGCTGTTCTCGTCTGAGGTTGGCAGGTTGATTTCTTGTCTCCTCCCCCTCTCTAATTCACACCACCCACACATGCAGACACATACAGTTCCCAATCCTGGGGCCCTGTCTCCAGACATATCACCTGTCCTGCAGTCTTCTGTGATCCTCATCTCCCGACTCAGTCACCTTTCCTCAGCCTCAAGCACCTCTCTTGTTCCCAGTCCTGATGCAACTAAGGTGGGCTAATGTCTGTCTCCTCCAACAGACTGTGAACTTCTTGGGAGCCTCCAAGGATGTTTTTGATATTAGATGAACAAATGGATGGATGGATGAAATGAATGGATGGATGGAAGGCTGGATGAATGGATAAACAAACTAACAGAGGGTCATCAAGGGAAAGAGAGGATGAGGGGCTGGGAGCTATGGTTCACACCTGTAATCCCAGCTACTCATGAGGTAGAGAGCAGGAGAATCTCAGTTTGCGGCTAGCCTTGGCAAAAAGGTAATGAGTCCCTATTTTAATCAATGACACAGGCATGGTGCTACACTCTGTAATCTCAGCTACATGGGAGGTGTAGGTAGGAGGATCACCATTTGAGGTCAGCCCCATGAAAAAATTTGAGACCCTATTTCAAAAATAAGGCAAAAAAGGGACTGAGGGTGTTGGCTCACGTGATAGAGCACCTGCTTAGCAAGGGAAAAGCCCTTAGTTCAAACCCTAGTACCATCAAAAAATAGTAAGAGGAAGAGATGAGGGAGATGGAGATGAAAAAAAAGTAGGAGAATGGGGATGAGAAAGAGAGAGAGAGAGGGAGAGAGAGAGAGAGAGAGAGAGAGAGAGAGAGAGAGAGAGAGAGAGAGAGAGAGAGAGAGAGATGCTTACACATGAGATACAGACCCAACCTGGGGTGGGCAGATGTAAATGCAGACACACAGAGGAACCCAGAAGGGAAGAGGGACACTCTGATGGATGGGCCATGCCCACAGAACGTGTCTAATAAGTGCTTATTAAATAAAATGAAGTAGTGCCCGGTGTGGCAGCACATATACTTAAAAGCGATGAAGGTTTGATCCAGCGAAGGCAGGGCTGGAGGAGGTCTCTGGCTGAAGCTGTGAGAGGAGGAGGAATGGTGAGCAGCTGAGTGGCCCCAGCAGCTGAGCCCTTCTTTCCTCCCAGGGACGATGGAGACAGAGCCAGAGGCGATCTGGCTCTGCTCTGACCAAGTCATCACAGAAGCTTGTGATGAATTTGGACTTTCCCTCGCTGTGCAAATCCTTGACTCTTCACCAGCAGTTTGTGTCCAGGGTTATTTCATAGCTTGCTTATGTGTAGGTGGACAATCATGAGTGAAGTTATTATTGCTGTTACTTTTTGTGGTGCTATGTATGGAACCTAGAGTCTTGTGCATGCTAAGCACATGCTATATGACAGAGCTACCCTCCCCGTCCACGTGAGACTGAGAAATAACTTTTAAAAGTAAAGAAAAGAATTGGGGCACCAGTAGCTCATGCCTGTAATCCTAGCCACTTGGGCGGCTGAGATCAAGAGGATCATAGTTCAAAGCCAGCCTGGGCAAATAGTTCACGAGACCCCATCTCCAAAATAGCCAGAGTGAAATGGACTGAAGGAGTGGCTCAAGCAGTAGACCACCTGCTTTGCAAGTTCAAAACCCTGAGTTCAACCCCAGAGTCACCAAAAAATAAATCCTTTTGGATCAAAAACAGATGAAATAAAATGTATCGGGGAGACAGAGGCATAGCAGACACCAGAGGGACCCCCGATCCCTGAGGACACAGACAGGTCTCTGTGCAGAGACCTCAGGCTAGACCTCTTGATGGGTCTCATTCGCTGCTCGTGGATGCCACTGCTGGGGCCAGACCTGTCCTCTTGTGGACACTGGTCATGTGCTGAGACGAAGGATCACGACCCACAGATGGGCGGGGCCAGAGCAACATAATCTCTCTCTCTTTTGAGGAACTGGGGCTTGAACTCAGGACTTTGCACGTGCAAGGCAGACACTTTACCACTTAAGCTACACTCCAGTCCTTTTTGCCTTAGTTATTTTTGAGATAGGGTCTCGATTTTTACCTTGCCAACCTGGACTGAGGTCCTCCTGTTTATACTTCCTGATGAACTGGGATTATAGGCCTGAACGACCACATGCAATTATTGACTGAGATTCAGTCACTAGAGCTTTTTTGCTGGGCAAGCTCCCTATCTCCACCTTTTTACTAGCTAGGATTACAGGCATGAGCCACTGCACCTGGCTTAGAGAGATTTCTTCTTGACTCTAGACCTCTGACCTCCATTTTCTTAGAGCACTGCTGTGGTTTCAATGTGTTTCCCAAAAGCTCATGTGTTGGAAGCTTAACTCCTAAATTCATATGTGGATGGTCTTGAGACAAGGCCTTTGGGAGGTGACAAGTGTGGGATGAGGTCATCATGACGGGGCACCCAAGATGGCATCAGTGGCTCTGTTTTTTTGGCGTTTCTGGAATTCGAACTCAGGGCCTTGCGGTTGCTAGGTAGGTACTCTACCACTTGAACCACACCCCCAGCTGTGATGAGTGGTTTTATAAAAAGAGAGAGACCTCAGCCAGCACACTTGCTTTATCTCACCACACGATGCTTCCACCATCTTAGATACAGTAAGAAGCAGGGCATGGTGGTGCACACCTGCAATCCCAGTACTGGGAGGCTGAGGCAGGAGGTTCATGTGTACAAGGCCAGCCTGGGCTACATGGTGAGACTCACCTCAAAAGCCAAAACAAACCAAAATGAAAAAGATTCACCAAGAAGGCCCTCACCATATGCCGGGGCAATGCTTTTGGACTCCCTCGTCTCCAGAACTAAATAAACCTCACTTAAAATTTTTATTACTATTTTTTATGTTGCAGGCACAGCCAATTGGAATGCTGCTTTCTGCACACCTAGTTAGCATAGAGATTAAGCAACACTCTGGAGAAAATGGATGAAAACCTTAGCCCATGTCACATCTCTGGGATCCCTCTCTTGGGACCCCTCCCAGCTCTGGGAGCTCTACTCTTTGCTGTTTTTCTATCTCAATAAACTCTTCCATTTTACTAAAAAAATTATTATTATTAATTTTTGAGACAAGGTCTTACTTTGTAGGCCAGGCTGGCCTCAAACTGATGATCCTCCTGCCTCAGCCTCCCCTGAAACCTCTTTTCTTTATAAATTTCCCAGGCTGTGGTTCAGTTATAGCAACTAAAAACAGACCAAGATAAGCACTCACTTTAGAAAGCTTGCAAATGCAATTTCTTTCTCTGCCCGTTTGAAATGAAGGTAAGTCTTCAGTCAGCATCTAGCTAGTTTTTTTAAATCTAGGAATGTCTTTCTCAGGGATCTGGGAGCCAAGTCTTTGAAATATAATCACGGAGAGAGATAGTACTCTTATCTGCCAGTCTCTGAGGGAGGGAGGAACCTAACTTTGATAAGCAACAATGGGCCGGGTGCTCCCACCTGTAATCCTAGCTACTCAGGAAGCAGAGATCAGGAGGACTGTGGTTCAAAGTCAGCCTGGGCAAATAGTTTGAGAGACCCTCCCGCCTTCCAGAACTTTCTCACTGGCTCATCCAACACATCAAAGCCTCTCAAGTTTGGTTCCAATGGAGTTGAGTTTAGTCTGTGTCCGCTATGGCAATAATCTTGAATAAAGTCTCCTTTTCCTGCTTGGCTTTGTCTCTTGCGAATTTTCTATGACAGAAGACACCCATCCACTGTGGACACATAGACAGGGCATCTGTGCCCTCAACTTGCCAAATCTCTGCCCCTCCCTCCAGTCAGGTCTCACTTCCCAGAACCTGTTTCTCATCCAAATTACTCTTCCAGCTTCTCTGGTCCTGTGCCAGGCTCTCTGCAGGCTGGGGCGGGGGTGGCTGTGTGGCGGAGGTCAGGGCCTCTGCAGAGTGGAGGCTGGCCAAGAAGGAGGCTGGGTTTTCTACAGCCTCTGTGGAACGTGGCCATATTGGAAGACTTCATGGCAATTCAGGTTTAGGGATTGAAGCTTACTGAGTGGGCAGACCAGCCTGAGGGGGTGTGTGTGTGAGGGAGAGGGAGGAGGGGGAGGGGGAGGAGGGGGAGGGGGAGAGAGAGCAGGAGGGGGAGGTCGGGAGGGGGAGGAGTGGGGGAGAAGGGGGTAAAGGGTAAAGGGAGAATTTATTTTCAGACATGGACTCTGATAACCTGCAGGGACTTTGGGGTCTTTGAGGGGTCGAGTGGAGGTTCCCACTGCAAGCGGTCATGCCTGCGGGAGGGAATGACCACACAGTGCAACCTTTGGGTTCACAAGGGGGCTCATATGCAGCCCTCTGCAGATGCAGGTGACATCAGAACCCCTAGCAGTTCTGCAATGTGTCCAAGCAGGTGGTTGCACTCAGTCTGACCCAACCATGAAGGACCTACTGACCACTGTTCATGTCAAAAGACAAAAATGTCCAGATTTAGTTTAAAGAAACTCATTGGCTGTATTTGCAATTCTTGAATTCAGTAACATTACGTTTTAGAAAATAGAATGCGTGTTCCCATGAGCGGAGTGCAGGAGGTTGGTCTAAATGCTGAAGGCAGAAACAGAAGACAGAAACAGGCTGGGGAAGCAGCTCACTGGTAGAGTTCTTGCCTAGCATGGGCAAGGCCCTGGGTTTGAATCCCAGCACAAAAAAAAAAAATT